TTCCAGCTGGATAAGCTTTTGCCTTGGTCCAAAAATGATCCCCGCAAGGACAATGCTCGGAGTGAACTCGTTGTTGGCGTTAACGTTCCAATTTGGAAACATTATGAGAAATCTACCACGAGTCAGTTACGTCAAAGCACTAGGTAGATCTCTACTTTATCTTCAAAAAATTATGCATGAACCGATTGTTAAAGATGTATGGATGCTGGTCTGCTTGACATTTGTGTTCTCATCGCTTTTGGAATTGGCAATGATAGGAGCGATTGGTGCGAAAATGGAAGTAAGTGGCTTTCAAATATCTGTAGTAAATCAAAATTCTAAAAGTGTTCATTCTTCATACAGCAAACAAAAGCGCCATGTCCCACAACACAACGGTCCCGTTCCTCTTCCTGTACATCACCGCGTATATGTCGCAATCACGTACAGTCCGATTCACCTCATGGATTCCGTAGTTATGGGACCACAGGTTGGTCATGTAATCCAGAATGAGACCAAAAGTTTGAACGTAGAACATACAATGTTCCCACATACGACCAAGATAAAGGTGCACGGTAACCTCATTACGGTACAAATGATTGGCCAGTATGCAAATTAGAGTGTACGAAATGAAATTTTAGTGTTGACGATGCAAAAATAGGACAATCCTACATTCCAGGAAAAGCTTTAGCGCTCGAATTTGATTTTTAATCGAATAAAATTGATAATAGTAAATGCGCTATTCTGCATCAGAGGAGCGAGTGATGCTTATGAGATTGTGGACGTGACTTGGTTGCAAAACTATGTTGAATTTTCTAAACATTCAAATTAGTTTGTAAAAAAAATTTTTTTGGAGAACTAGTAAGCGGAGATCATCCAGTATCAGACGTGCTAAATTAGGCCACTTCATTTGACTGTTTTCGGTTTTTTTAAAAGTTCTGCCCGTTTACCCCTTTGTAGGACAGCAAAACAATGTGAATATTTTGAATCTTGCTTATTGTGAAATCCATGGCTAGAAGAGAAATTTTTTTTTCAAACATATGTGATGTTTGCTGGAGATGCGCTGCAAAATGCTTATCGAGATACGATTTTGGAAAAATTTTGAACTTACAAATGACCTGAAAACATGACCTATCGTTGTGGTCTTTTTATCCCATAAAAATCATAAACAAAACACAATCGCGAAACTTTTGCACTATATA